ATTACTTGTACCTGAGGCATGGTGAGCTGAGGCTCGATTACTTGAATGAGCAAAAGCTGAGGTAGGGGGTGCTGATGGTGTTAGAGGAGGTGGAGCTGAATTGCCAACTTCATTTTCCAGCTGAATTAGAGCAGCTCGGATAGCAGCTAGAGTGTCTAGAGGATTGCCTTTTGTGCTAGACGAGGTTGTACTATCAGTGTTAATAGCCATATTTGCATTCCTCTTTTTGTTTCTGAGTTTTGTTGAAACTAGATGTGGTTGCAACTTCCAACAGGTCTCTTTAGTATGTTTAGGTTTCTTGCAATGCTCACATAGTAAGTCCTTGTTCGTTTCCTTCTTCATGTCTCTTTCCTTATCACCCCAAGATTTGGGCTTAACTGCTGCCATAGTTGATTCAAAAGGTTGTTGTTGAAGCATAACGTTTCTCCTAGTTTCTTCATTGTGCACTAAGGAATAGGCCTGGGATAGAGTTACACTGCCTCTTGTCAACAATTGCTGCCTCACAATATCATATTCCAAATTTTGACCAGCTACGAAATCAAACACTCTATTAGTTTCAATATGCTATCTATAAATCCGTGCATCTTTATGACTTTCCCGTTCAATTGATTCAAGGTGATCAATTTCATGCCACAGGGATTTCAAGATTAAAAAATAAACAGAAACTTGTTTCTCACCTTGCTTGATATTTTTAACCTTACATTTCAGCTCATAAGTCCTATCAACATTAAGGGGTTGAGAGTAGGTTTCTTTCACAACATTCCATATTTCTTTAGTTGTTTTTGCCCATAAGTAATTTCGGCTGATGTGTGGCTGCATGGAATTGCACAGCCATGTCATCACCAAATAATTTTCTGAATCCACTTAGCATAAATTGGATCCTCCTTATTTGGTTCTTTCGCATCTTCCAACAAATAGTTCAGCTTTCCTCTTCCCCCAATGGCCATCATGGCTGATTCGTCCCACTCTAAGTAGTTTGAACCATCAAACTTTACAGTTGTAATATGGAAGGTGTTTTCAGTCATGCCACCTGAACGAGTCCCAAAAACACCCTCCCCTTGGTGCTTGAACTCCATTCTTGGCTAGGGGTTAAGCAAAAAACACCTTCTATTTACTGTAACAATCAGCCTACTGGGTCTGAAAATTAACAGCAATAGGTCTAGAAGCAGAAATCAAATTCAGAGAGAAAAAATTTCCAATGCACTATATCACTGTATCAATCGGCCTACTAAATTTGAGAACTAATAGCAGTTGGCCTAGGTACAGAACTCCAAAAACAGAGATAAGAGAACAGAAATTTGATAGCAGCCAAACTTAAAAACAAGTATAATCTCTTATCCGGACACAGTAACAGTCTTGGATTTCAGGGTTTTCTCTTAAAACCTTAGAAGAGAAAAAGAAAAAAAATTCCATATAGCCGTACCTCACAAATTAAGCTATCCTTGATTCAAAAATCTTCCTGAAATTCTGATCACCAATTCCAATTTGCTCGAAACTAATCTTGATTCTGATCAACTTGAGAAACTTCTAAAACATAACTGATCTCGGAGAAAAATCTTCTTGATCGCCAACTTCAGTCTTGATGAGGGAACCAAAAAATTTGATTGGCACCTCCAATCTTAATCAAAGACCTAACCCTGATCACTTAATTCTTCTCTGATTCTTCCTGATTACAAGGAGCACTTTCCAATCCTTGGGCAATTGCTGAAGACTTCTTGTAATCTCTAAGAATCAGTTGAATGAAAAACTCAGCCCTAAATAATTCTCATGTGGTCGGCTAAATTAATTCCACATGAGAAACCCTAGATCAAATGCTCTGATACCACGTAGTCGCTCAAGATTGAACAGACGCTTAAAAGGAGAAGAAAAAAAATAAGAACAGAATTGGGAGGAGAGAGAGAGAGATTTTATTAAAAGAGAGTTGGGTTGATGTTTTAAACAACCGCCCCCTCTTAAATTTATATACATAGTATCATACTTGTAAATGGACTTAATTGCTTACATGGCAAGATAAGATAAGATAAGATAAAGTTGAAAAAGACTAATCCTAATCTTTCATAATCTTATAAAAGACTAATTCTAATATTGTCATAAATAACTAATCCTAATCATAACTTATTGCTGACATACGAACAGTGGGGACCACCTTAGTGGGGTCCACATTAGTGTTCTCTACACATTTCAAACTAGAGAAACTTTTTTCCCCCTCTTCCAACTCCCTCTCTGGCACCGACAATTGCTTCGGCTAGTTCACCGTCACCAGGTACTCTCTAACCCTCATATTTTGCTTTGATATTTGGTTTCTTCATTTCAAATTAGGGGAGCGCCTTGTTTCTATGATTTGGAGAGTACCTGGTGACAGTGAGCTAGCTAAAATGATTGCCGGTGCTGGAGAGAAAGTTGGAAGAGGGGAAAAAAGTTTATCTGGTTTGAAATGAAAAACAAAATATCAAAAAAGGGTTTCTCTAATTTGGAATGAAAAAATCAAATATCAAAACAAAATACGAGGATTAGAGCGTACCTGGTGACAATGAACTAGCCGGAGCAATTGCTGGTGCCGGAGAAGGAATTGGATCCGAGCTCGGGCGGAGGAGAGTAGAATGGGGTCAGGCAAAATTTGAGGTTGAGGGGCGGGAATATGAGAGCAAGGTTTTTGAACAGTTGGACCGTTCGGCCCGAGAACTATCCAAGCAACGGGTTCTATTTTACCCCAAACTCGGTATTTGACAAAAAATCGTTGAAAAAGTCAACAACCTGTTGACCCAGACAGTCAAACCGTCGACCCGTCGACTCATTCAATGATTTTGACCATTTTTTATTTTTAATGATTTTTATTTTTTTTTTTAATTTATTTGTCAGAACGAGCCATCCTTTCAAACCGAACGATTAGACCGTTGACTCAAAAACCGTTGGCCAAAATAGTTCCGTTTCCGAGTCGTTTTTTAAAACGTTGTATGGGAGAAATGAAGTTTATGCTTGTTTTGGGGGTTAACGGGATGAACAAACGGCCGTCCCATTAGCCGCACACGCGAGAAAGCCCCATTGAGTGCGACTAGACATGTGGTAGTCGCACGTTGTGTGGGGCGGAGATGCAAACTCACATCAAAATGTTATAAAATTGTATTATAACAACAAAAATGCGTAGACTTTCCATAGAGTGGAGTTAAGATGGGCGTTCCACATAACTTGCCCTATGTGCATCCCACGTGCACACCTCACCCTGTATTGGGAACATCTCCCTTACTTATTAGGGGAGATGTTCCCAATACATGGTTGGGATATGTTGTGGGGCTCATTGGGGCATTGATGTGAATTCCATGGAGCACGTTCCACATGCACCCAATAAGCACATCCCACCCCTGCATTGTCATGGGGAGATATTCCCAATGCATAGGTGATATGTGATGTGAGATGTGATTTGTTGGGAGGAATCTAGATCACCTACCAACAAAATATGTTCCAACACCCTATCAACATCATTGCACATCTGGTAGGTCCCACTTTTATGTTGGGCTCAGTTTCATAGTAAGATGTGTGGTGTGAGATAAAGTATGTGTTTGGTTTCGTTTACGTTTTTTCATTCAATGTTTGTACTTTATTTGTTTGCAAAACTAAGAAAGGTGATAATCACAACCGTTTATGACAAATAGGCGCCCACATCAGCGTAATCATTTGTGGAAACTTTAAAAAACAACTTTTCCAAAAACAGTAGGCATGCACAAAAACCGAAGTCCACTTTTACCATTCTCAATGCATACAAAATAGCAGGAGAATGGAGCTACTGAAGTGATACCTATGTGGCAGGAGTTATTGAATAAATGCCCACAAAGTCAAACAAGTAAAAAATTGGTAGGGTATTGAAACGTGTTTTATTGGCAGGAAATCCCAATTCAAGACTCATGGGAACTAGTGGGGACTAGACCTGTTCATGGGCCGGGCCGGGCCGGGCTCGGGCCGGGCTTTTACTGTGTATTAACAAATTTTTTTAAGGCCCGAGCCCGAGCCCGACTCGACCATCGGGCCTACAATTTGGTCCCGAGCCCGGCCCTCATAAAAAGCCCGAAGCTTGAGCCTGGGCCCGGGCCCGAAATTTAGCCTATATTATTATTATTATTAATGTTGAAGCAGCTAAATAAAGAGAGAGATAGATTGAAATTATAAAGAAAAGAATAAAATATATATATATATATATTAAATTATAAATATATATTTTAATAAATATTATATTATTTATATATTTTATATAATATATAAAATACATATTATATATTTTATAAAAAATATAATGCTGAGTCGGGCCAGGCCGGGCCGGGCTTAGGCCGGGCTTTTTTGACAAATCCCGAGCCCGGCCCAAAACACAGTCGGGCTTACTGTGTTAAGCCCGAGGTCAGGCCCGCGGGCCTAATTATATGACCAAGCCCGGCTGGGGTGCGGGCCAGGCTGGGCCGTCGGGCTACCCGGTCGATGAACAGGTCTAGTGGGGACCAATGATTTATAACCCACCATGCAATTTTTATTCACAGTACCAAACACCCCTGAGCGGTTGGGCCCCCAGGAAGCTTACCACCTGTTTAGAAATTATAACTTTTATGCACTTAAAGAAGCTTACGGCAATATAATAATAAGCTTTTTAATTGGAAACGGGATTCAGTCTGTGCAAAGCCCATTTCTTTTAGCAAGTGCAAAACCCATTTAAACACCCGTTATAGCCTTGCATTCGAAATATCTTCCCTCGAAATAATACAGAAGTGCGGAGATGTTCTCGATGCAAGGCTGTTCGAATTTCACTGACTGAAGCCGATCACTTTCAGTTCAGCCACTTTATGTGTTTTCAAGCAGCTGCTAATCTTTTTGTTTTGGTGTGGATTATGAGTAGACACAAAGCCTACACGTATCGTAAACAGAACTACGTGACCTGACCGATACAATATATCCCAACAAAACTCGGATTTGGTATATATAATAGGATCGAATTGTGATCTAATGTAGGGTTGATTCAAATATATTCGGTTTACAAATAAAAACTCCAGATTAATCGAAATCCAAAGTTTTTAATGTTTCAGCAACAACAACATAATATTCAAAAAGGGAAATTAGATTAGAAAGGAAAAGAAGGAAAAACGAGCCAGGTGGAAAATGGAAATGATGCAATATTGGTAAAACTCGTCTTCTGCAAATTTCTCAGTCCAGCTCTTTCTCGTCCCCCCTCCCCCCTTCCCCCTCTCTCAGGGGATCATCACATTCGTCTTCCCTCATCGACGTCGATGCGACCGCACGCATTTGGTGGGCATTTGTTGTGGAATTGTTGGCGACACATTTACAAGATCTCGTTTTTCTGCAACCGGATCTGAGCAGAAACTCGGGAGGAATCGAAGGGACATCGAGGATTCGCACCCATTGAAGCAGTTCCAGTTCGATCATTCGTTGGATCTGAGAAGAGATGGCAATGTCTGGAATGAGAGGTCTGTCCGTCTTCATTAGCGATATTCGCAATTGTCAGAACAAAGAGCAGGAGAGGCTCAGGGTAGATAAGGAGCTTGGAAACATAAGGAATCGATTCAAGAACGAAAAGGTGAGGATCTCTTCTTTCTACATTTCTCTCTCTCAATGTCCTCTCCCCCTTTTGATCAACCACCGTCTGTTTGAGGTAGCCAGACGGTAAATCAAGTGTTTTGGGTGCTTGGTTCATGGGATTTAAGGCCCTATGGATTGCATTAAGTTGTTTGAGTCAATGCTTTGGTTTGTTCTGTTTTCCCCTCTTAAAATTTCGATGTTTCTGAATAGAGATTACTGGTCATTTAACGTAGTGTAACCAGGGATCTGCCTTTTAATGCCTCTGGAAGTGCACTAGGAGCCACTTAGCGAAGCATTTGCTGTTAAGAGGAATTTGAACTTCAAATATAATTAAATAGGCCTTATTAGTTTGAAACGAGTAGAAATCGTACTTTAGTAATATTAGACGTATAGTTTAGCTTATCTGGGAATGAATCACAACATTTGCTTTATTTATAGCCCGGGGAGCAAACTGGTGAAAGATGAATACTGAATTGCTGAGTAGTATTGTCAGAGGGAAAAAAGAAAAAACTGAGTAGAATTTATACGAGATTATTTGTTTTTCTTTCCTCAACAACAGAAATCAGTACAAGTAGAGAACTGAGAGGTGAGGTTTCTGAATTTGTAGGTCTATGGGCTGGCACTTTCGACCTGGGCTGAAAGTATCATCTTGCTCTATCAACTCGTGCACATGCAATAGAACGGAAAGGAATTATTATAACGTGAAGAGTTTGATACACCAAGAACCATTGCCTAGTGCACCTAGGTGTGCATCTGGTGGAAACCGGATTCAGTCAGTGCAAGGCCTGTTCGAACAGCCTTTATAGCCTTGCATTGGGAATATCTCTCCATGAAATAAAGCACATAAGTACGGAGATATTCCCAATGTAAGGCTGTAAAGGCTGTTCGAACAGGGTGGATCCCCACGGGGATATGGGAAATGGGGAAAATTGCCATCCCTAGGTAGTGGGGTGGCTGAAAGAGGATAAGGTGGGGTTGTGGAACTTTAGCAATGAAAAGAAAATTTACAAGCGGCTGGCAAAGGATATAGAAGTGAAGTACAGTTGGGTGAAGAGACTTGCTAAGTCTTTTGTTGATGGTTTAGCTAAGCAAGGGGTGGCTCATGAATCTTTGCTTTGGGCTTTGTTGTAATCCTATTTTACTACTTTTTTGGGGGCTCTTGCCCTTACTCGGGGAGTTAAGAAAGTTTATCTCCCCTTCCTTGTAATTAATTTAATGAAAAGCTTTTGTTATTGATAAAAAAATATCTGGGGTCCAAACAAAGTTGTGTTGTACAATTTTTTTGATCAATAACAAATTCATTAATTAATCATAAGACTAATTACAAAGAGGAAGACAAACTTTCTTATCTTCCACTTACAGCTTGAGCCCCCAAGAAAAGAAAAGAAAAAAAAAGAAACAATAAAATTACATTTGAGCCCAAAACATTGATTCCCTCTCCATCCCTTGTTTAGCTAACCCATCAGCAAAAGAATTAGCTGATCTTTTAACCTAGCTAATCTTAACTTCCATCTCTCGAACCAGCCACTTGAATTTCCTCCCCACATTGTTGTAATTTCATAAGCCACTGTTGTCTTTATTCAGCCACCCTACCACCACCTCCGAGTCCCCTTCAATTATGAGTTTTCTGATATTCATCTCCCTAGCTTTCTGGACTCATTCCATAACTGCATAGATCTCAGCTCTGAGAGAGTCACCCACTCCAATTGGGCCTGAGAACAAGGCAGAAACAACCCCATTCTCATCTCTAGAAACACCCCCAATCCCTGAGTGTCCAGGATTCCCTCTACTACTCCCATCAAAGTTTAGTTTTAGGAATCCAGCAGGTAGGGTGGTCCAAGACACACTCATTACTGTTTTGGTCTGGGTACAGTTAGCAATCTCATCCCACTTCCTTAACATGTCATCCATTGTGTAATATGTGAATAGCTCTAGGGATTTTAGCCAATGTACAACCCTTATATGGATTAGAGTCCTAAGTTCTTCAGCACCTCTCTCTACTGCTGAGAAAATCTTGGAGTTTCTTTCTTCCCATAAAGACCGGCATACTGCAGCCCTCAGTCCTCTCCACATGGCCCTTCCCCTTTTCATATGCCACCTGAAAAAAGAAGGGGAGAAGAGACTTTGCAAGTTTGATGGAGGGTTCCAACTACACCCAAAGAGGGAGAAAGCCCACTCCCAAATTGACTTTGCAAATTGGCAAGACACCAGTAGGTGAAAACCAGTCTCCCCATCAGCTTTGTAGAGAATACACCAGTGAGGTGACAAACAAGTATTTGGTCTCTTCTTTTGGAGCAGATCACCAGTGTTGAATCTTTCAAGATAGACTTCCCAGCAAAAGCTACCAACCCTAGGAGGAATTGGTCTGCACCAAACCTCATTAATAGGGAAAGGGAGGGCTACAGGACTGGTGAATTGGCTTAAAACTTTGAAGAATGAAGCATAGGAGAATGAGACAGTGGGGGTGGGGGTTCAGATTCTAGAGTCCACCTTAGTAGGGTCTAAGTAAATATTATCAAGAAGTTCAAGGAGACTCGAAATACTGTCGAGGTCTGAGTCCCTCACAACCCTTCTTAAGCCAAAGTTCCACCCAAACCCAGAACTGGAAGAGGAAGGGGTAATGAAAGAAGAAACTGTCTCATTTTTAAAATCAGATAGGGCATACAAAGAAGGAAACTGGTCCTTTAGGGGGGCATTCCCCACCCAAGTTTGTTCCCAAAATTTTATGGAGTTACCTGAATTCAAATCGTACCTAATAAGAGAGGAGAAGACTGACAACAAATCATGAATGGCTTTCCAAGGTGAAGCGCTTGTAGTCCTAGCTCGGATTCTAGCATCACATCCATTTTGCTCCAGCCCATGTATGCTTGCCACTATTCTAGCCCATTGTTTCTCTTGCTCTAGTGGGAACCTCCACAACCACTTCCACAGAAGGGCCATATTCCTTTTTCTAATGTTCCAAAGCCCCAAACCACCACAGTTTTTACTCTTGGTCACCACCTCCCAGCTTACTCTATGATCCCTCTTCTCCTCTCCCGGCTCCCAAAGGAAATCTCTCATCATCTTCTCCAATCTACTAGAAACCTTTATTGGGATTTTGAACACTGACAGGAAATAAATGGGTAAGTTTGCTAGAGTGGCCTTAATCAGTTAGTCCTCCCACCAAGAGAAAGGTAATTCTTTCTCCAAGAGGCAAGTCTCTTTTCAAATCTTTCCACCACCGGGTTCCAGAAGCTCTCTCTCTTGGGGTTATCACCTAATGGCAACCCTAGATAATTCAATGGCCAGCCTGAGACTTCACACCCTAGCACTTCTGCACTCTCCCTAATCTCTCCCTCCAAATTCATACCCACTACACAACTTTTCCCAAAATTCACTTTCAAGTTTGAAATTTGTTCAAAGAGTTGTATCACCAATTTCATGTTCCTGATAACCTTACATTACCTCCTCCACAGAACAAAATCGTGTCATCGGCAAATTGTAAATGGGTGAGGGGGGTTTCCTCCCTTCCAACTCTCCAACCTTTAAGGAGGCCCCTAGAATCTGCTCTGTGAATTAATTTCCCCAGAACATTAGCAATTAGTGTGAACAAGAAGGGAGATAGGGGGTCTCCTTGTCTTATACCCCTAGTGGCTTGAAAGAAATCTACCACTGTCTCATTCACTAGCACAGAATAATGACAATTCCCAACACACCCCATAATCCATTTGCACCATCTAGCCCAAACCCAAATTTGGTCATAACTTTCCTAAAAAATTCCCAGTCCACTAAGTCATAAGCCTTTTCCAGATCCAACTTACAAACCACTCCCTTCTTTCTATCATTCCTGAAGTTCTCCACACTCTCATTAGCAATTAGGATTTGATCAGTAATCTGTCTTCCACTCACAAAAGCTCCTTGATTTGGTGCAATGATATCTGGCAGTACTTCCTTCAATCTCAAAGACAATACCTTTGCAATAATCTTGTATAAGCTATTTACCAAATTGATTGGCCTGAAATCCTTTGGATGGGATGCATCTTTCTTTTTTGGAACCAAAGCTAAAAAAGTGGAATTCACACCCGGGTTAATAACTCCTCTCCTATGAAACTCCTCAAACACCAACAGAAGGTCACCTTTCAAAATATCCCAGCAGTCTTGACAAAAGCCATTGTGAATCCATCTGGCCCTGGAGCTTTTGTTCTATCCATAGAAAACACTGCCCCCTTAATCTCTTCCAAATCAAACCTTCTTTCCATCATTCTCCTGTTATCCACCCCTACATCTGTCCAGTTCATTCCTTCTACCCACACCCCTCTACTTACAGGCCTTCTTAGAATGGATTTGAAGTGTTCTACAAATGCCCAACTATCTACTCTTGTTGTGTTAACTCAACTCCATCCACTTCCAATTTGGAGATAAAGTTCTTCCTTCTCCTGCCATCTGCTAGAGAGTGGAAATACCTAGTGTTTCTATCTCCCTCTTGCAACCATTTACATCGAGTTTTTTACCTCCAGCTTATTTCCTCTTTATGTAGGCAGTCCTCTAGCTATCTTCTCAAACATCTTCTTTGTTCATTGTCTGCCTCTCCAAATTCTCCCCTTTCTTTTTTAGAGTCAAGGCTCTCAAGTTGGTCCATCAGAGCTCTCTTTCTTTCTTCTATCCTTCCAAACTCCAATTGATTCCACTCCTTGATCTTTGTTTTAAAAAATTGTAGTTTTTTATGAAACCTCATTCCTTCCCATTCCACCATTGGATTACACTCATTCCACCACTCCCTTTTTTGGTAAACCCAGGATGGATAACCACATATTTTCAAAATCTAAAAAGGGCAAGTCCTCCATTCCTTCTTTTCTCCTTGCATATCACTATAGGCCAATGATCAGAGGTCAGTTTAGGAAGAGTTCTAGATGTTAAGTTCCCCCAATGTTCTTCTCTATCCAAAGAAAATAGAAACCTATTTAGCTTGCAGCAGATTGGATTAGATTGGAGATTTGACCAGGTAAATGTCTTGTGGGC